AAAAGCGACTTTGAAGATGATAACATCCATAAACTGGTTTTTTTTAAAGAGAAACTTGAGATTTTTAGTGTAAAACGTGCGCATGTTAAGTCATTAAAGAGTCCTTTGACTGCTGAGAACGTTTTATTTTTAAATGACATTGTTAGAAAATTTCGGAATCGGAGTCATAAAAAGAAATTTTTCGGAGTCGGAATCGGGTTTCGGAATGAAAAAAGTTGACTCCGCAAGTCTCTAGTCTTAACCGAATCGAATCCAGATATTCTTATTTATTTCAATGTTTAGTTTAAATCACATTCATATATAACTTGTATTTACAAGGACTCAAAAATAACATGAGTTCCCTTTTTATTGAAATCCTACAACAATAACAACAACAACAACAAAAAAAACACATTTCAAAGGTTAAATTATCTGATTTATCTAGGTCACCAAGCGATATGTTATATATCGACCAGCTGTTTCCGATGTTCGAGTAATACGTACAACCTAAAATTATAATACACAAATCTTACGAAGAAACCTTCTTAGATGTTAAAATGTTTTTCAATCGAGACAATATTCATTTGATGAATAATATGATTTCGTTTTCTGACTCTTCGTTCTTGAGATAGTGAAAATCAAACTATTGTAGATTTTTCTATTACTCATCGAATGAATATTATCATAATTTGATATTTGAAGAAGTATCATTATTAATTGAAATTATTTATTACTTACTTGTCCACGTTTCAAACCAAAATATCGAGCAACAGGATCACCATATTGAATACGTGGTAACTGACTTTCTTTTAGACGACTAAATCAAAATAATAAAACATATATTTATATGTTTAAAAAAAAAATTCATTTCTTTACTATCGTGCTAATAATTCTTGTTTTTCTTCTGGTGTTAATATAACATGTTTTGGTACAAGCTAAAAAAAAAATTTTTTTTTTTTTTTCTTCATTTAATAAATTCGTTTAATCTAATTAACTTACATTATGTTCAGTAATATTAATTAATAATTCACTTTCAAGAAAAACTTGAAATGAAAAACTTTTATTCTGTAATTCAGTAATTAACTAAAACAAATAGATTTTCATAACAAACAAAAATTAAAACATATAGATAAATATACATCACGAGCTGCTGGTGTTAAACCAGTTTGTACAACAAGAATTGAATGTGGAATACTTTCTTCTTGCATTTTTTTAAAATAATCTTTTATTCTATCAACACCAATTTTAGGTTGATCAGGAAATTGAACAATCATTGTATCTGTTGGATCATCATTATGAGCAACCATTACAATTAATTGAGATCGTGCTGGTTTATTTTCACTAGCAAAAAAAAAAAAAATCATTTTTTATATTTCTATATGAAAATAATTTACCTTGGTTTATCACCAAAAACAGCTTTAAATTGATCAAGTGTTTGATCAAGTTCATCTTGACTTACAAGATAACCACGATCATGACACATCTATGAAATAATTAAAGAAATGTAAAAATAAAGATTTTTTGTTTTCTTTTTAAATATGATTTTAATGGTGAATATAGAAAATTCTCTTCCTAATTCATAACTTTTGATAGAATCCTGCAGTTTTCACCATTAATTATCATATATTATATATCGTCCTAAGTTTTCTTAATCAAATTTAATATCTTTGAAAGAAATTATTTTTAAAAAATTGCCCGAGAATTTCAACTGAAATAGTTATATGAGTCTTAAAGAACTAAATCAAAAAATCTTAGGCTTGCATCCTTTCTTAGATCACCTATTGAGATTTCGAATGCGCATCGGATAAGTGAAAATATTAGAAAAAATGTTGTATATTAACTGTAATTTCACATTTACTATTAGCGATTATGAAATTCGCCAAAAAAAAATTTATTTCGAATCAGCAAATAGTATTAATTATATTGAAATTTTTTTTTTTTTACCTGTAAAACTGTTTTTCGAATACGCCATAATTTATAAGTTTCAGCTTCATCATCCATTTTATTCTTCTTAAAGACTATAACTTAAGTACAAAAGAAAAAGCATCACACAATGAATGATATATATATTAAATTTGATTGGTTAACAATATTAACCAATAGATATTGATTGATTTTATTCATTCATTTATTATCATCTCATATTTCACTATTAAAAAAAAACCATCCATAGATAATATACACGTTATATAATTTATCTAAATGACAAGCAAAAGTTTAAATGCAAAAAATTTTCCTTTATTAAATCAAATTGATGAAGGAATACATTTTGATAATATTGATTGGAATAAAAATGCTTTTCAAACATTAATTGTAACTTTTATTTTAATTTAATTTTGTTTCTTTTTTTATTGTATTTTTTGTTTTTTCTAATATTAGACATCAAATTTACCAACAAAAACAATATTTTATTATGCAATTGATGTTGGTCTTCGACGATTAGAAAATAGTTTATATGACGCTTATTGGGATTTAACAGAAGATTCATTAAATGAGTAAGAAAAAAAAAAAAACAAAAATAACTATCTAGATAAATTTCATTTTTAGTTTATCGGAATTTTTATTTAATTCATCAATTGATAAAGTTGCTGATGATTATTTATATGAAGCTAAATGTCAATTATTAATGTATTCAGCAATTGCAATAATTAAAATGAATACTATTGTAAATAATTATTTTTTTTGAATTTTCAATAAAAATAAAATATTCTAGAGACGTCGATCGATATATGATGCTAAAATGGCATGTGCAACAATATGTTTATTATTATTAGAACGAAGTAAATCATATGAAATTTCATCGACTATAAATGATTATTCATCTTGTATTCGTTCAATGCATTGTCGATATTTAAAACGAATATTTATTATTGGTAAGTGTATTTTATTTATAATTGATATTCATTTATTTTTATTTTTGATCCGCTAAAAAAGTATTTATGATATATCAAAAGCTATGAACCAAAGGTAATAAGGAACTGTAATAGATTTCGAAAAATCTATTTCAAATTCGGATTTCTCAAGCACAATTACTTTTGCTTAAGCTTTATAAAAAAAAAATCGCCATTTTTAGAATATCTTCTTTCGTTTAATATGCTTGAAAAGCTTCCACTATTATTTATCTAGTTCAGTGTCACATTTTGAAGAGAAATATCTGCTCTATAAATTGTTTGAAAAAGAACTTATAGAGTAAATGAAAATCTGTTGAGAAAATTATTGAAAATATTTTTTCAAAAAGTCCTACAAAAATCCACACAATATTTCTAAGTTCATAGTTAAATTTTGGTGACGATCTATGGTTTTTAACTCGTCTGAAATACTTTCAAACAGGCAAAAAATGTTCAATTGAAATGCTCGCCCAAAAGACTAAGACAAAATTTCTAAGCACAGAAAGTTCTTACCCTAACTCATAGTTTTTGATTTGTTGGACATACTTTCTAGCATAAGTTAAGTAACTCGGTCAAGAGAAATATAAGTTATTATCCAAGTACGGCTAAAATCTCAATCGTACTAAAAATGACAATTCACTCATACATATATAATACTTAACTTCTGCTAGAAAGTTATAGTAACGGACTAAAATTTAGAGCAGTTATATTTTTGAAGTTTCTTTTCTCTGTCATGATTGATGAACTTAAAAACTCCAATAAAACTTCTCAGATGACAATGTTTGGAAAACCAGTTTTCCGGCATCTATTTGAAGCTTTTTGAAAATGGTTTTATTTGATAGAGAAAAATGAGATGTGTCAATTTTTTTCATCGAACTGCATTCAATTTACAGAAGACTCAAGAAGCATTTTTCTTTTGTGTTTATGATAAATTTTTAATAATTTCACCATGTCTGACGCTTTGAAATCTTTTATTAATTGAATACAATTTGATTACGAAAGCCGAGACATCTCATTCTACTCTATTAAAAAAAACCTTTTCCAAAAAGCTTTGAATGGATGAAACAAAACTAGTTTTAGAGAGTTTTTAGGTTTATCAAACTTGATAAACAATTCATTCAGTTATTCAAACGTTTTTCTTCAAATCATTCCTAGCAATTAACATCGAAAAGAATACAATGACTCTAAACTTATGTTCGCCATAATATATAATAGTTTTAATACATGACTTAAAAATAAAAACTGTTGAAAGATTTTTGATGTTGATTATATTTTATTTTTTATTCATTAATTAATTTAGTTCAATGGTTATCAACTTTATCGAAAATACAAATAAATGATATGCAAACAAATTATGAACGATATGTAAGTTTGAAATAAAAATTTGATTTTAAATTATTGAAAATTTTAGATTACAATCATGATTAAGCAATTATTTCCAACAACTTCATTAACAGATAAAATAAATTATTTTATTGATAAATATTTATTTGATAACAATATTAATGAGGATGATGATGATATAACATCAAGTGGTTTTGTATTTATTCGACATTTTCCAATATTTAATGAACAAATTTTTGATAAACATAATGATCTAATGAATATGGGTTTTGTTAGTACATTAAATCAATGTAAGAATTAGAGAAGAAAAACTTAACAAAATTTATTTGTTCGACTTTTAATCCATATTGAAAACAAAACTTTTATTTAGAGGATAATTATGAGAATTGAAGGTACCTGTAAAAACTGCGAACATTCATTCATTTTTTTTTTACAAATAAATAGCATGATAACAATGATTATTCGTGTAGTCTGCAGCATTTACAGGTGCATGACGCTTGAGTAATACGAGAAATTTTACAATCTGATAAATTGTTTATGAGAGAATTCTTACTTATGCGATATTCGTTTTGAATAATGGTAGTTTTAGTAAGTTGTTCAAGAAAATATCGTAGGCGCTCTCAAATTGCTTTTGAAAACCGACTTTTTAAGTTCAAATTTTGGAAAAATAGAGTTCCTAATTGAAAACTTTATTTTTGCAAAATTTGAGCTAAAAAAGTCAATTTCAAGGGAGATCATAGTATTTTATCAAAAGAAAAAAAGATTACTCAAATGCTCATAATTCAAAACCAAAAATACATCTATACGAATCCTTTTAGAACTTTTCTAGTCTCAATAGAGACTATCTTTCCGGTGAACGATATATATTTGGTTCTATCCGGAAGATTTCGAAAAATCGTAAGAAGGTGTCAGCAGGAATACGATGTCCGAGTTTTTCTATATATACATTCATCGAAATAAGATAACTTATTGAATCTTTAACGCTCTACAAAATGAAATAGACTTAATATGTCATGATTTAAAACAAGAGAAATTATCATGAAGAATACTGTGGCATAATCAAACAGTGTTTAGCTCTTACTCTTCTACTAACAGTTAAATTCTACTTAGCAAGAGGTTCTGTCACATCAAATGATACTTATAATCTTTTCTATTTATTCTTATATAAAAATAAATGCGAAAACCTCGGATTTAAATCCGAGTGTTATGTGTACTTCAAAAAGTGAAAAGGTATATTCACTGCGTTTTTTCTCACTAAATTGCAAGGAGAAAATACTGGCGTACTAAGTTAGCATGGACCACACTGTATGTGACCCTATACGGTGACCATTGACTCTATTCTCAGTGATATAATATCTTTAGAAATCACACAAATTGAGTTCAGATTCGTGTTCAGCTTGGAAAACTGGGTAAGAAGAGTTATTTTTGAATGGATTTGTGTTTTTATTTAGCGGGATTGCGATCGTAAACAACATCAGGAATCTATAAGAGATATATATCATAGATACAGGCATCAGTATTTTCATAATAAATCACCAATATTAATAGTTATCGAGTTCGGGTTTTTGCCTTTCGATGGTNACATGCTTATGATAGAAATTCTATTAATTAAGAACTTTATAGCTAATGTTACAAGAGTCTGAGCTCCAACTTTGATTAGAAATATCAAGCTTCTGACCGAGTTTTCTTTTATCTGTAGATGATAATGTTCTATCTACCGTACAAAGAGAGCTAGCTGACAGGAAGTTTTGTAGCTTCATATCGTCAAACAGGCGTCATTTCATTATGTAGGTCTTATAAATTCAGCGAACTATAAAACAACTTTCTGTTGAACATATCCTAAAACAGGTTTGAAACAATCAAGCGACGAGATCGTGTATGCTTTATGATATTTTTTAGATACTATAAGTTCTTGTTAAAGCTATTCATGGAGGCGTATTTTAACAAAAAATTCAAGTGAACAATACAGAGCGGGCTAGTTATTTTGCTTAGTGATAGAGCACTTTTCAAAGTTTGTATTCATAAGAAAACTATTAAAAGATACTGGATTGAACTAGAACTATTGGCTTTAATTAAAAAGCACAGTAATTAACAAGCATATGCCTGAATAGGACCTAGGATATTCTTATTGGCGAGAAACGTGACATTTTTAGCACATATGTTACATTAGAGACGTATGTAAATGATACCAGCACGGTCTTGAACGCTTGAATTCAAGGAGACTCCTGATGTATTATGCCTCTTCTCATTGTGAGAACCATGATTCATAGGAGAAGGGCCATGCGACTTAGTCAGCCTATCATAGTGTTGCCCTTCAATGCAGCTATCTATGTTATCAGTTTTATTGAGTTTCATCGAAACATGTAAAAGCGTGACTATCTTACATAATTACCAATTGACTGAATCTTTTAAGATTCTTCTCTTTTTGAATTATGCGACTCACCATGAGAGGAAATGTCATAATCAAAAGTTGTCATTGAATTCAAACAGTCGAAGTCGAGCTAGTCTCATTGACCTACGCTTATAAGACAACGTATATGCTAAAAATTTCACACTTATAACTCTACGAACATCTTAGATTCAAGCTAGACATACTTTTGACCCATTGTTGCACTTATTGATTGGAGTCAGTAGTGCTAGTTCAATCCAATATTTGTTAACGCTTCTCTTATAAATAAAAACCTTATATAGTGCTCTATCCTCGAGAAAGCAACTAGCCCGATCGATTTGAGCACAATCGAGACATTCGATTCTTTTCCTATACAACTAATTGTGACCCATCTTATACATATGAAGTTTCAAGATATCTAATCTTGAATATATAGTCGTGTAGTATCTTGAGTCAGACTTTTTATTTCGTGACAAAAAAGATGATACCAAGACTCATTTGACACGCACCTAGTAAAGAGAACAAAGATCAGTTAAGTCATTTATAATACTGCGCTTCAACTGGAAAACTGGTTGACATAAACGAATATGATTTTTCTAGCGGTGACAACTACTTCAACAACAGCATCGATGCCCGAAGTAAATATCATGACACCTAAAGATTTTGAAGAAGCTTGCAAGCAGCCGGTCGCGATTTGCACAGCTGTCAGCATGCTTCTTATGGGTCCCATACAAGTTATTGGAATGTTTACTATTTTCACAAAACTGGACAAGATGTACAATCCTAACCGTCTCATGGCTACTGGTCGGCAATTGAAATTTAACAAATGACACATTTCTACTCGATAAAAGGACAATTGCGCAAAGTATACATTGATTATAATTCTGCTTATCGAACATACACACTGAAATATACCATAAAGCTGTTTTTTAATGTGTGTGTACGTGTTGGTAGGGGTGGGTGTCGGTCTGATCTATGGGCCGTAGGATTGTTATGGGTTTGGCTGTCCAAGTGTGGGTGTGGATGGTAGCTGCTAGTGAGGATGCGAGGGTGTGCTTTTGAGTGCATGAAAGACTCTGACCCACACCATACCGACAACCACAACCAACCTTCCTGTCTTTAGTCGTATTCTCTTTTGTTCTGATCGCTCGTTTACATTCATTCTAGTATCATTCATCGTCACAATACTAACATATATTCTGACAAGCTTACGAGTCGAATGAACGATTCTTGCCGTGCTTTTGCAGGCATATTCAAATGCTAGGGTTAGGTATCTGTCAGGAATAGCGGGAGGAAGAAGGGGGGAGAATAAAAAAGTTGCGGATACAAACTTACGCTAACTGTTTTCTTAGTGAATTCAACAAAGATATAATCACTTTCGGATCTCTCGTAGTTGCTGTAGTGGACACTTTATTTACAGTAAACTGTTTCTTACAGACTTGATGATTAGAGTATATAGAGTATTTTTGTAGAGCATTCAATAGCAGGTTCGTCAATTATTAGAGCGAATCGATCATATTGACAGGATTGAATTGTTCACCTATCTTGCAATTTCGTGTCGAAAGAACATAATCTCGAGCGACAGGGCCAAACATGTAGATCGCAGCAGGTAATTCGCCAGAGAAGACTTTCCGCGAGTAGGTTCTCGCCAAAATTAGAGATGAACTTTGTATTGTGTACGGAGCTACGATTGATTTCCTCGTTGCTTGTCAATGAATTCCGTTGTCAACGAGCCATAGTTGTGTTCAATCCACAACTCCTTTCCACCCCATTCAATCAGAGACATCTGACTTAACAGTCGCGCGATTTGATTGATTGTTCCTTCGGTCCACTGCTGTGACTGAGGGTCCAATATTTTGAATGCACCTTCGTACAGAAAATAAGTCATCTTGTTCTTGAGTCGAGTCACGGCTTGTTTCGACGGATGAGTGATAAGCTCGATCAAACGCAATTTATTGAAAACATATTCAATACGATACAGAAGAGTCTCACCGGTTTGAACATATATCGAAAAATCTGGTGCTTTGACATCATTCAATAAATCTTTTTGAATCTGATATTCTTGTAGAGAAGTCAGACAAGCAGTGGGACTAACAAGTAAAACTAACAAAACACACTATCCTCGATTCTTGTGAAACACGAAGCAGCATTATTTACTTTAAAAAGCAATTTAGAAATGCACTATTAATACAAAGCACCAAATGAATCGTATTTTGAAACTCAGTTTATAATGTACAATCGGAGAGAATTATTCATCTCGTTAATGAATATTTACACCTCGGACAAGTCTAATTGTTTCTCATTGAAGACATGGCAAACGTTTTTAAAACAAAATACAGGGTGGATTAAAATGTTTTTTTCACGGGAGTGATGCTGTGATTTCAAATAGGATCAATAATAAGTTTTATACCAAATTAAAGTGCGTCAACAATGGGACTTATCAATGCTGAATAGCAAATGTTACAGCAACTTTTCAGTATTAAATTCAGGAAATTTCTAAAATTGTACACCATATCAGCAGTAAAAAAATTCTTTCATGAGGTAGTTCAAACTAGATCACATTTAAAATGATGAATAACACAAACTATTCGATATCTTATATGAAAATATTAGATCAATGATCAAAAATGAAGCTGAAGACAATTGCTATCAGAGATAAAACACAATTGTTATGATGAAGAAACTCTAAAACAAAAAAAAGTATTTCATACGTTTTGACAATGATGGAAACAAACACTAACCTAGATTTGAAATTATTTTATGTTTATATCCATTTCATCTCCCCGCTGTAAAAACACTAATGGTTGTCATACTGATTACTGATTATATTTATTAAATCCTTAAAAGAAAATATACTTTTTGATATTCATCACTCTATATGAGATATAGTTTGAACCAGTGTTTCATCTAGGTTTTATTTTTTGAATGGGCAGCTGGTATTTTAGGGTGGGCAACTAGAATTTTCTGAAAAACTACTGGCTAAAAATTTTTTGCGATATAGCGAAGGTACGCAGAGACCCTTTTTGATTATTTTTCAAAACACAATTACACTTTTCGTCTATTAGTAATGAAATGTGAAAAAACTTCGAAATAAAACAAAATGCTGTGACAATCAACCAATAGATCTAAATCCGAAATTTTTTGTAGTGTTTCATTTTTCCGATAACCAAAAATTAGATCCTTTGGATGATTATGTAAATCATATAGTCCTCTTATTCGTATTCTGGTGTGGTATCTAACTCTCAGAAGAAAAAATCTTGATAAAATGATTTCAAAAAATAAACTCTCAAAGGAATGAAAAATTATAAACAATTGAAATCACGAAAAACCAGTATTAAGAAATGAAAAATCTTGAAAAAGTAATCGCTAAAAGAAAAAAAAATGAAAAGAAAAATATCATATACAGAAATTTCGAATAGCTAGGATTATATGATTAATAAAAGATCTATAAATATACGCACAATCATACTTATGCCTGGTGAATCAGATCCTCTCTGATTTAAATGTAGTCGTGACCGAAAGTAAGAATGAAGTGAGATGGTAATTTAGAAACTATCTGTCGTCTTTCTGAACTCTCATCTGCTGTTCTATATGCAAACTTCAACTACGTATCTCTCATATGTCCGATTAATAGCATATGGTATGGTTATTATTATAAGAAAGGATGTAAAAGTAGTTTAGATCTTAGTTAAGAAATCGATAAGAATAAAAAAAAGAAGTGAAGAAGTCATGCGAAGAATAACAAGAAAAAATCATTTTTGAGAATTTTCAGTTCTATTAAATTATTTTTATGTTTTATACTGTGAAATTTTACCTTTTCGTGATTTGATTTTTTGAAAGTTTTAGTTATAAGATTTTTTCAAACTCTTACTTTTTCGGGGTTTTACCTTTCGGAACTTTTGTGCTAGGAATTTTTTCGTTTCAAGATATAGATGANGTCTTTTATCTGAAGATGGAGATTTAGGTTATTCAGGTCCAACATATATAGCCATACGTTCAGCTAAACATGATCTATCAACTGCTGCTTCTCATGCATTAGATTTTGATCGTCTTGTTTGTTTAAATGAATTCGAAAAAGTAGCACGTGATGAAACTGGACAAGTTAAACCAATTGTTATTGTTACTGTTAATGGTGGTCCTGATGAAAATCCACGTTTTCCAAAAACGCTTGTTGCACGTATTAAAAAATTTAAGAAATATCACTTAAATGCACTTTTTATTCTTACACATGCGTAAGTTTATACATTTCAATATTTAAAAAAAAGACTTTTGAATGTACTTTTTTCTGAGTCCTGGTCAATCAACTTATAATATAGTTGAACGTCGTATGGCTCCATTATCTCATGACTTAGCTGGTCTTATATTAACACATGATTATTTTGGTTCGCATTTAACTAAATCAGGTGTAACAACAAATATTGATTTAGAAAAATTAAATTTTCGTAAAGCTGGACAAATCTTAGCTGAAAGATGGAATAAATCTGTTATTGGTGGATTTTCATGTGTTGCTGAGTACATTAATTCACCAGTGACATCAGAAGATGAATGTAGACAAGTTGATACTAAAATTGTTATGGATGAACTTTTACGAAAGTTTATTTTTTTTATTATTTTTTTTTATTTAATCAAAATTTATTTTTGTTTTTAAAATAGAATTTGTGCTAAAGAAGAAGCAGAAGAAGGACATGAATTTCGTGTTCGTGCATCGGATGAATATTATCAAGACAATGCTCGTGCACCAAGAGAAAAATTTGATGAACAACTAAAATATGATATTGATGAATATTGGTGTGCCATACACGTTTTACAAACACAATATACTTTACAAATTATACGTAGTAATTCAGTTGAATGTTGTGGTGAATGGCGTTCAAATTATGTTGAAATATTTCCTCATCGATTTTTACCATCACCTGTTCCATTTGAATGCACACCATATAGTATTAGAATGGCAGAGAAAGATTATCAAAAAGGACAATTTTATGGATCATTATTTCAACGAATTCAATTTCATGGTATTGTTATTCAACATACACAGGTTAAAAGAAAAAAAAAACATTTTTATTTGTAATTATTCATCAACAGTTGAATAGAAAAACGACCTGTTAGATTGACTAGAAATCGAGAAATAAACGACATGGGTCCGTTCTCAGTTCCAACCATGTCTAACGGCCTCTGGTACATGAAATAGATAAGTCTAGACATGAACGAGATTAGATTTATTTTTTTCAGTCGTAAGATCATAGCGAAGTACTTTGAACTTATAGACAATCCTAGACAATTATTTCAAACTTTGTATCTAATAATAAGAAACAAAAATAAAGTCAATTATTTTCATTTGTCAACACATATCATTGACTAATCTAAGTAGAAACAAAAAAGTCTTTTACTACAGCATTAATTTGTCCTTACTGCTCACTTTATATTAATAAAAACAAAACGATTTTTTTTCAGAATGAAATGTTACCATTTGATTACTGTTGTTCATCAGTAAAAAAAGAGTTAGGAAAACGTATGTGTAAAATATGTAATCAATATATTCCATCAGCATATTGTACGAAAAATTATTATAAAATTCATGCACAACA